GTGGCACCGATCGCATTGCGCCCAATTCCGCATGGAGAACAGGTGCGACGCCCCGTCGTCGGCGCCCGCGCACGCCCCGAGCCCTCCGGCGCCTGCGTCGCCACCCTGATCCTCGCCAGGCAACTGGCCCGCCTTCTCGTTCGCGTGCAGCCTGTTCCCCTTGGAGCGCGGATCGATGTGCGGATAGCACTGCGGCCCTGCAAACTGAACCAGATACTGCTGTTTCAGAGGATACCGTCGGATCTCCTCACTGGTCAATCGTAGCGCCTCCATGCAATCCTTCTCGCTACAATCCACCTCGGAGGCGTGCAGCTGCGCGAGGTACTTGTTGAAGACTGGCCGGCTGTACCACATGAAATTCCTCCCGCCCTCACGCCCATTGTACGACTCCCTCTCAGACCCGAACCGAGTTTCGCCCTCCCCGCAACGATCCTGCACAGTCCGCACCCCTGCACCCTGCTCATACACGAAGCCAAAACGCCCATAATTCTTATGTTTTCTAAAATTATCATGAACTTTCTTAAGGCACTGCTCATATTCACTGTTGGACAGCACGAACCGACCGTGCACGTCCACCTCACACAAGGACTTCAACTCCGGCTTGATCTTCGACGCCGCGTCCCACATCGCGTGCCGCGCGTACCACTGCTTTGATGCCTTATTCGCCTTCAATGAAAATTCCTTGAACTTGTCCAACGCGAGCGTAGGGATCGGGCCCCTGACGCGCCCGTGCGGACAACCATGTCTGGCACACTTCCCACACACGTCGCTCCCTTTCTGGGGCCGCGACCGGCACTGCTCTCGCCCCCAGCCACCCCCCCACGTCATCCCTTTGCAGCGGTCCTCATCCACGTAATCCGGCTGGAACTGCCTGGACTCCGCCTCTGTCGCGAGCGACCCGTCCGCGGCCCCGCGCTTCCGGCGTGCCCCCCTGCCCCTGCGCGGACGAGAAGCTCCGTACGCTGCGGGCCCAGCGGGCGCGCCGTCTTCATCGTCACTGAAATCAGTGACGCCTGGGATGCGGGGAAGAACAGCCGTCCTGCCCGGCCGCGCCACCACCACCCCACGGCGACCGCCCTCCCCGCTACCCTGCTCTTCACCGACAGTAACCCCCAGCTCGTCTTCGGCGCCAACGACGCCGCCCTCCTCGTCGCTGCTGAAATCGTTCACACCTGGAATGATGCGACGCGAGCCAGCAGCCGCCCGCCCTCGCCCGGCACCCCGCCCACGACCACGCCCCCCGCGGCCCCGCGCCTCACGGCCAACGACACCCACCTCGCCCTGAGCGCCAACGAAGCCAGCATCCTCATCGCTGCTGAAATCGTTCAACACCTGGAATGATACGACGCCGAGCAGCCGCCCGCCCGCCGCTCCCCGCCGCCGCGCCGCGAGCGCGGCCGCGACCACCGCCGCCGCGCCCTTCGCCACCAGCGTCGCCGCCCTCGTGCCCGGCGCAGACCTGCCCGCCACCGTCGTCGCTGCTGAAGTCGTTAACCCCGGGAATGATCCGCGCCGCGGCGCTGCCAGCGCCAGCGCTCCAGCGAGACCCCGACGCGCGTCGCGTCGACGCACCTCCCGCCTCCGCCGCGACACGGCGAGCTGCATCATCCCCAGCGGCGCCGCCTTCCACGTCGCAGCACTCTCCCTCGTCACGCCCCGCATCCCACATGTCCACGCCCGCGTCAGGATCGCCCATCGTCGCCGGCGCCCTGCCGAGCGGGCGCCCATCTCGGCCGCCAGACTGCGCGGAAGCGCCCGCGCGCGTCGCGCCACTGAACTCCAGATCTGCGCCCGCTCTGCCAGACCCCCCCCCCCGCCCGCCGCGCCGCCCGCCGACCGACCGACCGCCGCGCCTGACTCCTCCGCTCCTGCTGCCCCGCCTGCTGGGCCGCCGACCTCGCCCATCGCGCGTCTCTTCCGCGCAGCCACGCTTGGGTTCTGCGCGCCTCGCAGATGCGCTCCTCGCTGGCTCTTCGCGGCCGCCTTCTGCTTCGGCGCGGTCTTCTTCGGCGCGCCCGCGACCGAGCGCAGCCACGGCGCGCCGTCGGCGTCTCCGAGAGGCACGCCATCTGCCAAGCGGCCATCCACATCAACGACTTCTGCAACATGCCCCTCTGAATACCATACGACACTGCCAATGTCCCGCCCCCACGCGCAACCCAAAAACCACGCGCCAGAACACTCCCCCCGCAGGACGCAGTCTGCACTGTGCGCCGCATAGACACGCACCCTCGCCCGTCGCGCCTCCAGCCAACCCTGCACCGCCGCGAAATTCGCTCTCTCCGCAGCGTCACCGCACGCCCCAGCCCCGGAATCATTCGCGCACTGCACTTCAAAGATAACCTCCGCTTGCGCGCGCGCGCCAGCACAGCCAAGCCCAGCAACGCTCAACTGCAAACACTTATTCCGCCACGCACCCAGGCGATCTCCGGCCTCGACGACTCTGAGTCGCCCCGACGCGACGCCGCGTCGAAGCCGCCGACGCCAAGCACGGGACGCGCTGGGCGCCCCTGCAGAGCCCAGACCCACGTGCGAGAGTCCATCGGCAAGCACGCCACCCAGCGCGGCGAGGACAGAGGCCACGCGCAGCGCAGCAACGCCGACGCACTCGCCCGCGCCTCGCGACGCCCTCCACGCAGCATCACTCGCGCAGTCGCCAGCGCCCTGCGACGCCCTGCCCTTCGCGCCGCCGATCCCGATGCCAGGGGAGAACCTCCGCGCGGAGACGCGCCGCCCCCCGCACTTGCGCGCGAACAAGCCACGCCAACCACAGCACAACCACTTGGCGACCGCCACCGTGGCGGCGGAAGGGCCAGCTTCTGATGACGCCTCAGCGTTGCGCCAGAAACTGCCCCTCTCCTGCCACGCGCGCGCGCGGGCCGTCGCGCGCGCGACCCCCGCCGCGACCGCGGCGCCCGGCTCCCTCGCAAAGGGCAGACCGCACGCGGCGAAGACGCACGCTGCGATCAAAGCTACGTCGCCGACAGACTTCGCGCCATCGGGCACCGCAGCGGCACGGCGCGAGACGCGCCGACGCGACCCCGAGTCCACGGCCTGCGATGCCCGAGCATTGAGGAATCGCTTCGCGGTCTCCTGCGTCGCAGAACTTTTCGGGGAGCCCACCCGCAGCGGCGCCTCCTCAGACGCGCGCGCCTGCGAACGGGGGCGCGCTGGCGGAGACAGGGGCGCCGCGCGGATATGTTCGTTCAGAACGACCGCCACCGCCGCTCGCTGCGCCCACGCCGTGCCCCGCCGCAAACAGCGCAATCGCCTGGCGGCTGCGCGGCGCACTTTCCGCAACGCCTTCTCGCGCTGCCCCGCTGCGTCGAACGCCGCGGCGTCGAAGACTTCTCTCTGGAGTTCGAAGTTCTCCGAGCGGAGACATTCCCGCAGCCTCTGCGCCCACGTCGTGGGGCCAGAACCTCTGCCAGACCTCCGAACCGCCGGCTGGCCCTGCGACCTCACCCCCCAACCTGCCACTAATGGCACGGGCGCCTCCAGAAGCTCCAGGGCCAAGGCCGGGGACATAGCCGGGGCGAAAGACGGCGCTTCGTCGACTTCCGAGCGCGTCCTGGAAGAAGCTGCAACAAAGGTCGACGCTGGGGCCGGGGCCCAACGCGGCGCGGAAGCCGACCCAGAAGCCGGGGCCGGCGCCAAGACTCCAGCCAAGACCGGCGGCGCGGCCAAGGCCTGGGCCAAGGCCGAGGCCCGGGCCGGGGCCGGACAGACGGCGCCGTCAGCGTCGAGCCAATCGTCGTCAGCGTCGCCCCAGTCGCCCACGCAATCGTCGGCGTCGTGCTCGCCAACGTCGTCGCCGGCGTCGAAAGCACGCACTTCTCCGGCCAAAAAGCGTTCGAAAAAATCGCGCTGGTCGCCCCCCTCCTCCTCCTCCTTCCACTCCTCCTTCTCCTCCTCCGGGGCCGGGGCCGACACCGAAGACGCCCTCAGCCAGCACCCCCTCGACTGCTTTCCCAGCGCTACCAAGTCCGCGAACTCCTGAGCCTCCAGACGCCCCAGTGCCGCCGTTTTTCGCCCCTCCTCCTCGTCCTCCTCTCCTTTTTCCTCCATTTTGACTTGAGAGTTCAGTCGCAGCGTAGGAAGGCTATGTTGGGGTTGATGGATTTTGATGGCCCCGATGACGTCTATTTTTGATGGCCTGTTTTTCGGCCCACGGTGGGATCGACGAAACCCTGATCGCAAGTTTTTTCGGCATCGGGGCTGCGAAAAAATGTGATCATCCCACGCGCGGGCCCCATCGGGCCGACGACTTTTCGGCATCGTTTCTTGATGGCCTGATGGATGGGCCCCAAGAGCCTGGCCACAGCCCGAATCAAATGTGCGACCCTATCGTAGCATATCCCGTCGACTGCATCGGCCCCAAAACGCGCTCAGAAACGAGGCCCCGCCTGTCACACGGAAGATTACAAATGGCGTTCCCCTGCTCAGAGAGAGGCGCGCGACTGACGAGGACGAGGAGGAGGAGGGGGAGGAGAAGGAGGGGGAGGAGGAGGAGGAGGAGGAGGAGCAGGAGGAGGAGGAGGAGGGAGAGGGGGAGTAGGAGGAGGAGGAGGAGGAGGGGGAGGAGGAGGAGGACATAGGTAGACGAACTGGGGGAATGAGCGGGCTGAGGAGTTGAGTATTGGAGACTGTACTGGCGACCCATGCGTTCGACGATGGCACTGATGCTGATGATGACGATGGTGCTGTTTATTGTATTTTTGGGCACAGGGCGGCACGGTGCCGCCTAAGCGTTCTTGGCCTCCTGGGCCTTCTCCAGGATCTGGCGCAAGATCCTGTTGGCCGACACGCCGCGGTCGGCAACCGCGTCCAGCTCCTTCCTGAGGTCGTCCTTCACGGCCTCGGCAGGCTTCTTCAACAACTGCACCAATGCTGCCTCCGAGACCGTCGTGTTTGCACTCACCAGCATCTCCTTGAATCCGCTCACGCACCCCGACAGGACGCCGCCGAACTCGAACTTTCTGGCCGTCCCTGTACTCGACCAAGGCCACATTGATCGTCTTGCCGAGTTTGTTCTTGAACAACGTCTGCTTGGCGTGGGCCACCACGTCGTCGTACGAGTGGTCCTCGTTCAGGCCTTCTTTCCAGGAAGAACCGTCTGGCATTCCACCCGCCACCGCAGCAATCCTCTCCTGGATCCTCTTGATGGCGCGCATCGTGCCGTCGGTCACGGCCTCCGCGTACTTCATGGCTAGGCCACGGCGCTCCGCCACCGAAGCTCCCCACTTCTCGTTGATGCCGTCGATCGTCAGCACGCCGTCGATGGTGACTCCACCAGGGCCATTCGGCGGCGACGTGTCCACCTGGCCCAGTGCAGCCTTCAGCGCGCCCCAGGACGCGACACCCTCGTCGCCAGACATCACCTGCGCGTCCACGTCGCCGAGGGCCACCAAGCCCTTCTTCATCTGGATGGCAGCGCAGATCGTCATGATATGGCCGAGGCGAACGTTCAAGCCATTCAGCGCGTCGGCGCGGGAGTCCTCGTGCACGAGCAAGATGCAACTCATCACGGCGTCGGCCTGGTCCTTCATCGTGCTCGCGTCGCTCGGGTCGAAGGTGGCGTCGGGGCTGCAGAACACCAACTTGCACAAGTGGATCGCAGCCACCTCGAAATCCGTCGCCACGCCAGCGCCAGCAAAGACCTCGCCGTTTAAGTCAAGCACCGCCGCCTTCAACTCTGACATCCCCTCGAGCGTCAACCCGTCATCATCCTCGGGCGGGGGGGTGGGGGCGAGGATACCAGAATACACCCAGGTGGTCCGAATGGCAGGGCCCCAAGGCCCTTGATAAGAACTGGTTTGCTTCATCGGCCACGCTCGTAAGCGCGTGCGTTCGGCGCCGCCCTCAGCCCGCGCGCCGAAGGCAACCCCGAATGCGCGCACATAAGAGCGCGAACCGCTGGGGCCGAGCAGCAACGAGGCCGCGGAACAGTCGGGTCGGGGAGGGGTCGGGGAGAACTGCGCTAGATCATTGCATCGGCCCCGCTGGAGAAAACACGCCAGGACCATGGAACACATGAGCTGGTAAGGCCACTAGAGGCCACACTCTCTTATCAGGGGGTCAAGTGGGTTTCATGTCCTGGACGGGTGTGTTGCGAGGGGTGGGCAACGTCAATTTGCACCCGATCTCACGGGTGCAACTCCGCATGCATTCCAACACCTTCTCGCGCTTCTTCTTGCTGGTGATCGAGGCCGCCACCGCCTCCATCCCCTCCGCGGCGGCCGCCAGCTTGGACACGACCAGGACGCCACTCGCCTTCGTCGACTTGGCGGCCGCCGCCACGTTCGAGATGGCCTCGCAGACCTGCCTGGCGGACTCCTGGGTCAGGGCAGCGTCGGAATCGTAGTCGTAGGAGGCGACGGCATCGACCCACTCGGCGAAGGCCTCCTCCAAGCTGGACGCGCCACCAGTGCGACTGCCGTCAACCCACCCCCTCATGCGGCGGGACACCTTCACTATATCTGGGATGTTCCTGGACTTCACAACGCCCACCGCCGCCGCAATCTCTGGGCCGATCTGGAGGTTAGAGAGGGCGTACTCGAGGTACTCTTTGGTCATGGCTGCCCACTTCGGGTTGGAATGCAAGCTGTCGGCGAAGAGCTCCCACTCCTTGCTGCGCGTCCCGTTCAACAAAGCCCTGCTGGTAGCACGGTCGGCAATGTTGTCCGTTGCGTTGGGGCTCGGGTCAGAGATCACCAACAGCGCGTCGGCGGCACACTGCAACGTACGAGCGAGATCGATGAACTCCTGTATGGCGCACTCGCCACTAGTGATGGCGCCGCTCTCAATCTTCAAGTGCTTCGCGGCGTCCCTCACGAGCTCGACAGATGCTGAACCTGCGGCGACCACCTCTGCAACGAAGGAAGTGAGAAACATATCGAGGCACACATCGCATTTCTCCTTGTGGCTCAGCCGCAACTGGAACACCCGCGGACGCTTGACCTGGAACCCGACGACCGTGCCGATAGTCTCTGCAGGGGCCCATGGCAGAACCATCTGCACAATCCCTCGCCAGACTTAGTCTCTGACACGAGCTTCCCGATGAGCCTGCGCTGGAACGACGTTGCGTCGATGACATCATCAGCGCCGAAGAGGTCGAGCATGTCGTTCCTCTCCTTGACCCCCATCGTGTTCAAGTTGGCGTGGAGGCTCACGGCGGCGTCGACCTTGGCAAGGTGCTTGGTGCGATTGATCTCGATGCCGCGCATCTGGGGCCTGAAGCGGCGGAGGGCGTACGTGCGGTCGCCAACCTTGCCACCATCGAGCATGGTGCTGACGGGCGTCTCCCCAATGAGCTCATCGAGGCGGGCCTTCTCGGAGCACGATGGTGACGCCGAGCCCGCGCGGCCGCCGCCAGGGACGCTCCTGCTGCGGCCAAGATGGGAAACCACCGACGACCTGGCCTTCGTCGACCTGGCGACCTTGGCGGCGACACCTCGGAGCCTGACGGTGGATGCATGCAAGCTCACGTTGTCATGCTGAGCTTCCTCGCCGTCGCTGCTGGAGCCACCTGATCCCTCATCATCGTCGGAACCGCCCACCTCATCCTTGGCAGCAGCGGCGCCGCCTGCAGCGGCGGCCGCAGCGGCAAAGCCTGCAGCTCGCAAGCCACCGCCGCCGCTGCCAGCGGCCCCAGTCTTGACAACCTGATGAGGACCCCAAGACCTCCCACCGAGGGCCCGCGCGACCCCTCCCCCCTGCCCCCCGCCAAAGCCCACCAAAGCCCACGTGGGCCCGAGAGGTTCCCAAGTACGGCCCCATCATTCCCCCCCGCGGCCTTTACTTCTACATCGGTGTGCCCCCCTCAACCTCAACCCCCATCGGCGATGGGGCACCCGACAGCGAACCGCTCTCAAGCAGCAAGCATTACATGGTTGGGCGATTGGCTGCAACCCCCCCTCCACTGAAACCGCGAACGCACCCTGCCCTCCTCCACGGAGGTTGGCGTTGGAAGGAGCTGCAAGGACTTCCAGGGCACTGGGGAGAGGGTTGGCAGGAGGGGTCGCGCGCGACGACGGTGGAGGCCATGACGTCATCTGGCGCCTCTGCATCAGTGGCTGCCGCTCCAACGCCTCGGGCGAGCTTCGCCCCCTTCAGCTGATCCACCAACGAGTCGATGGTGGGCGGCTTGACGTGACCGCGAAGCTCCACGGGCAACGCCTTCACGACCGTGCCCAGCGCCCTTTTCAACTCTGCCTCTACCTGCGCCTCTGTGAGCGCCGCCCTCCGACTCAAGGTGCCAGCGACCTTCTGGCACTTCACGGTGGTGAACGTCTGCACCTCCACGGCGGGCTTGTCAGGGTGAGCAGCACAGATGCTTTTCAGCTTGGCCTTGGTCAATGGCGCCAAGACCGACTTAGTCGAGATGGCAGCCCCGGCCACCGTGACATTGCCACCAGCCATGGCCTCCAGCGCGTCAGGCTTCAAGCAGATGTAGTTCCCCAGCGAGTGGTAGCCCTGCTCGACGACGATGTTGACTTCGTCCTGGTCGAACGTGGCAGCCGCTGGATTGCCCGAGACCTCCTTCGCCAGCTCGACCTTCTGCTTGTATGCGGCGTCCCCCTTGATCTTGGCGCAGTGCTTGGTCCACGTGATCTCGTCGATGAAGGCGCGCTTGTACGGATCCCAGCAAGCCAAGCACGCGGTGCCGACCCTCTCGACCTCGCCTTGCGCGTTGGGGGCCTCTGGCCACGGGGTCGACAAGCTCGAACGGTGAACGCCGCACTGGCCACACGTCACTGCATCTGATGCTGAAGCAGACTCCTTCCTCTTCTTCCTGGGCGCCGCGGTGACAAGCTCAGCCACCGCCGCTGCGCCATCAGATGCATCCTCCTCCTTCACGCGGGTGTTGCCCCGCTTGCCCATGCCTCCCTGTGCCGAAGGATACCGTAGACCGTAGAAAGTGGCAAGCCTCAACAGTGAACAGCCAGCTGTGACCGTCAAAGGTACAGCTTGTGGCCAAACACGGCTTCGGCAACAAAGATCGGCACGCGGCAAACGCGGGCGCTGCGAGCTCGCCAGGCGACAAACGATTACCACGCAAGCGAAGCGTGGGCCCTCGAAGTCACGTAGGCTCGTCACGGCCTGCCACCGCCTGAGACAACATCACAAGTCGAGGTCTGGGCCTGCGACGGGAAACATGCGCTTGCAACCCGCCATGGGATGCGACCTAAGATCGGAACGCCACGGAACCCAATGCAACGCAGTGCGGCTCACGTGGGCGCGCTTCGCACATCACTCAGATTCCGACGCCAAGCGCGCCCCGATGCAGTGACACGACCACGCGGTGTTTAGGCGTGGTGCGATGTAACGCGGTGAATGCGATGGTTCGCTAGTGATGGTGCAATGTACGGCACAACACATCCTGGTGCACATGGCATGCAACACACATCAGGGCCCAGCGTGGGACCACCTGGGCAATGGCAGGGCCACGTTGGGCCCACCTTTGCCTTAAGATCGGCTCTTCCATGCACCCCCCCCCCCCTGGAAGGAGCTAACGCCAAAACTGGCTGAGAAACAATCTCGGCCACCTTGCCCCGCAAACAATGTGCAGCTTGGGATCGTCGCCATGCCATATTGGGCCAGCTGGGACCACATTGAGGCTATATTGAGGCCATCGAGGGCCAGCCAGGCACGCCTCGGGCGTGGCGGGTAGCCCCAACGGGCGCGAAGGCAGAGCGAAACGTGCTCCAAGACCGCCCACTCAGCTTTACCCAGGGGGCCGTCGGAGGGAACTGAGCACCACTAGCACTGCCTGAGGGCGAATCTCCGCAACTTTGCCCCGCAAACACTGCACATCTTGGGATCGCATCAGTACCATTTGGGGCCAGCTAGGGCCATGTTGGGGCCCTCTTGGAGCCACGTTGGAGCTACTGGGGCTCGAGACCGACTCTCACTATGAATGTGGGGCGAAACGCATGGCGCGCTGCCACCGAGGGCCCCCGCGCCCCCCCAAGGCCCGAGGCCCAGGAGCTCAATAAGAAGCCCCATGGTTGCTGCCGCGCGCCGTCGCGAGCGCCGCCGCTGCAAAGGCCCCCCCAACAGACGGAGCGGGATTAGGTTGCGAGTGGGAAGGGGGGTGCGAGCTTCCCGTCTACGAGCGGCAATATACGGAATGAGCGGGGCAAGTTCGTAGACGGAGAGTTCGCCATCATATTCGGAGGGGGGGGGGGGGGTCGTAGACGAGAGTTTCGCTATCTAGTGGTGGGCGGGCGGGCTCGTAGACAGGAGTTTCGCCATCAATTGGGGTGGCGGGCTCGTAGACGGGAGTTTCGCCATCTACAGTGGTGGGTGGGGTGGGCTCGTAAACGCGAGTTTCGCCACCTACGAAGTGGGCGGGGTGGGCCCGTAGACTGGCATTTCGCCACCTGCGGAACGGGCGGGGTGAACGCGATTATCGGCGCACCCCCAGGGCACCCACATTCGGCCACATACGCTTGAATCGGTCACTCCGCAAACGTCCCAAGGCTTCTCAGCGGCCACCACCCCTCCCCCAGGGCCCCAGGGGGTGGAGCAACAACCCATGGGCACCCAAGGTCCATGCAGTCCGGGGAGGGTGGACGCGAGAACGAAGGGGAGCAGAACACTGGTGCATGACTGATCGCAGGAATGGGCGACAGGCTGGGCTGGCATGGGGATGATGGAAGGGGGGAACGCTGTGCCATCACCATCCACAAGACTGGGAAACGATGGGTGTAGCGGTGAGCAACAGCATCCCTGATACCACACACGCAAAGCACAGCATGGCCCACCGCGCTTGGACTGGATGCTGGGCCCCGGGATGCCGAACCACCGCGCTGAGCAGGAGAATTCCTGAACCCACTGCGCACGGCGATGAGACCACCTTGGCCCATGGCCTTCGGAGGCCCGCGTTTGCACCAACGCGCTGAGACGCAGGAACGGCGGGCCCGTATTCCACGCGCATTGCGATGCCAGCTCAGACGGGGCACCCCCTGCAACAAGAACCTGGACATGTACAACATGCAATGGCCTTAGAGCACCGCGTGCGCGATCGCGCAGACTGTCGTACAAGTTGCCGCCACGACGGCCCCAGGACACTTAGACGTGCTTGCGAGCATCACAGTAGCCAATGAACGGCGCCGCGCGCCTTCCCGTCGTGACGAGCAGCATATACAACAAAGGAGGCAGGACTGATGAGGAAGAGGCACGAAGGCAAGGTGCGGAATAATGAGGAGGATCTGCGGAGCAGGAAGGGTGGGCGACGAGGAGGATGGGAGGCGGTGGGCGGCGTAAGGATGCAAGGCTCAGAGCACGAGGGGGAGCGATGAGGGCGGGCCCCAGACGGAGAGACCCCCCCCCCCCCTCGTCTCCTCATTCGCATTCTCCCTAACCCTCCTCATTCCGAACATCGCCAACCTCCTGGACAGTAAAGCCTGCCCCGTGGCATGTCCCTCTCCAGCCCCTGACGCTTCAGGTCGTAAGACAGGTGGAGGGGTAGCACGCCTGACCGATCGGGTGAACAATGAAGAGGTCAGAGGTAAGCAATGGGGAGGGATACGCGTAGATGGGGATGGCTCGTGAGAGCCTTCGCGGGCAAGGCTCAGACACGTGAGCCAGATGACCGAGAGAGTTCAGGCGAGGCTGATGGGCCATGGCTTACCCCCCCCCCATGGTTTTGGGCTCTGGTGTTCAGAATGCCGAGGAGGGAGGGGGGGGACTTGGCCGACGGCGCAGAGAGAAACGAATTCCAAGGACGCTCATGATGCTTAGGGCCGATGCCCTGGATATGACCTAGGCGGCTCGTAAGGCTGATGGGTAAGGGGCAGGGTTAGGAAGAGAACGCCTCGGACGTCGCCAGTGAGTCTGAAAAGCTGGCGGTGGTCCTCAGGGGGCCAGTCTGCTTAAAAGACGGCCCAGGGACTGGGGATGTCAACAAAAGCGGCCCAGGGTACTACATATTCTACATGTTCAGGCGGCGGGGGGGGACGGAAGGGACACTGGCATAACCATCAAGTTGGCTCAAGGTTTTCTTGGCTTAGCTTGTGCACTCCACGCAGACGCACAACGATGCAACGGCGTCTCGAGATGGGCTCGAGATGCGCAGCTCGAACTGGGCCCATGATGAGCCACTGGCACGAAACAAACGCAACAAGAACTCTAGAGCACCACAGGCGAAGTAGGCTCTGTATAATGTGTAAGGAGAGCAACAAACAAGCACCCCCAAGAAATATGGAGTGGGCGCCGATGTCGCCCGAAGCGAAATGGAAACTGCACTGCTTCAGTGAGACGGCGGATCTGACGCTGGCGCGTGCCCGTTGGGGAGGCCCGCTGCCGCCATGTCCACAGGGTAGGTCGGCGTCTGCGGCGCGGACTTCGCCGAGCCTGAGGGCCCCATGTGCCCCAACAGCCCGAAACACGCCGACGGGACGTCGGACGGGACCTCCTGCTCCACTGACGCATCGCGATCGCCGTGCTCTCCTGGCTCAGGCGCTGCTTCTGGTGGGCGATCTCCTGGGTTCGGCTGGTCAGCCGATGGCGCTGGCGGCGGCGCCTCTGGGCCACTGGCACAGGCTGCAGCGTGCGCGCC